TCAGATGCTTTTTCTGCATCTATTGAGATAAGATTTTTATCCTTTTTGTTGATGCTCTGTATCATGTTGATTTGCTGACATTGGAGCATCCTTGCATCCCTGGAGTACTTCCCACTTGATCATGGTGAATGATCCTTTTAATGGATTGTTGAATGCAAAGATTTGCTAATATTCTGTTAAGGATATTTGCAGCTGTTTATCAAGAATGTTGGCCTATAGTTTTCTGTTTTCGTAGTGTCTTTGGTAATTCTGGCCTTGTAGAATGAATTTGGGAATCTTTCTTCCTCATCAGGTTTTTGGACTACTTGAAGAGGAATAGATATTAATTTTTCTTCAAATAATGGTAGACTTACTTCACTTGTGAATCCACATAGTCCTTGACTTTTGTTTATTGGGAGGTGTTTTTTTTTTTTATTGCTGACTGAATTTTGTTACTAGCAATCAGTGTATTCAGATTTTCTATGTCTTGCTGATTCAATTTTGGAAGATTGTGTATTTCTAGGAATTTATCCATTTTTTTTGTAAGTTGTCCGGTTTTTGACATAAAATTTTCCTAATATTGTCTTTTGTTTCTCTTTCATTTCTGATTTATTTGAATCCTCTTTTTCCTGGTAAGCCTGTCTGAAGGTTTATCAACTTCATTTATCTTTTCAAAGAATCACCTCTTGGTTTTATTGACATTTTCTTTTGTTGGGTCTCTTTAATTTATTTCTGCTCCAATCTTTATTATTTCCTTCCTTTTACTAACCTTGGCCTTTGTTCTTTTTCTAGTTTCTTTAGGTAAAAGGTTAGATTGTTTCTTGTGGTATACCTGTGTCACTCTAAATGTCCTTTTAGAACTGCTTTCCCTGTATCCAGATTATGAACCATTGTATTCTTGTTTTCATTTTGCTCCATATACCTTTGATTTCTTTATCAACTCATTGGCTGTTTAGTAGCATGTTGTTTAATCTCCACTTGGGTTTTTTTTCCAGTTTTTTTCTTGTGATTGATATCTAGTTTCATACCTTTGTGGTCACAAAAGATGCATGATATGATTTCAATGTTAAATTTATTGAGTCTTGCATTATGGCCCAACACATGATCTGTCCTGGAGAATGTTTCCTGTATACTTAAAAAGAATGATTATTCTGTTGTTTTTAGATGAAGTGGTCTGTGTTTATCTGTTAAGTTCATTTGGTCTCATGTGTTACTCAAAGAGGTTTTTTTTGTTGATTTTCTGCCTGTTTGATGTATCCATTGGTGTAGGTAGGGTGTTAAAGTCCTATTGTTACTATATTATTCTCAGTTTTTCCATTTATATCTTCATATTTGCTTTATGTCTTTAGGTCCTCCAATGTTGAGAGCATAGATAATTACAATTGCTACATCCAGTTGTTGGATTGACCCCTTTATCATTAGATAGTACCTTTGTGTTTTGTTAGTCTCTGTTTTAAGGTCTACTTTGTCTAATACAAGTATTGGTACCATGGCCTTCCCCTCCCCCCCCCCCCACCTTGCTTCCATTTGCATGGAATTTCTCTTCTCATCCTTTCACTTTCAGTCTGTGTGTAAATCTAAAGTGAGTCTCCTGAGGGCAGCGTATAGATACATCTTGTTTTTTCTCCATTCCACCATCCTTTATCTTTCAGTTGATGCATTTAGACCATTTACATTTAAAGTAATTATTATTGATAGGTGTCTCCTTATTGTCATTTAGTTAATTTTTTCCTGGTATTTCTAGTTCTCTCTGTTCCCTTCTTCTTCTCTTGGTCTATTTGTGACTGAAGACTTTCTGTAGTATTCTTGATTTTTTTCCCTTTATTTTTTGTGTAACTATCATAGATTTTGGGTTTGTGGTTACTGTAAGGTTCATATAAAGCATCCTAAGTGTTTAACAGTCTTAAGTTAATGGTCACTTAAGTTAGAACACATTTTAAAAGAACTTTTTACTACCCCCCACCACATTTTATATATATGTTGCCATATTTTACATATTTTTATTGATAATTTTCTTCTTATGGCCTCTTCTTTTCCATTTAAAGTATTCCGTTTAACATTTCTTATAAGGCTAGTTTAGTGGTGATAAACTCCTTTAACTTTTGTTTGGGAGACTTTCTTTCTCCTTCAATTTTGAATGATAATCATGCTGGAAAGAGTATTCTTCATTGCAGGTTTTTTCCTTTCAGTTCTTTGAATATAAGGATTGCCTTATGGGTTTTCCATTATATATAACTTTTTGTTTCTCTCTTGCTTCTTTTCTCAGTCTTTAACCTCTAACATTTTAATTACCACATGTCACAGTATTGACCTCCTTTATGTAACCAGCAATGAAGCATGAAACTTTTAAAAACATTTATGCAAGAAAGAAGAATGTCACATAAGCAAATGTGTAGTACAAAACTATATTATTTAGGCATGTGGCCATAGGTTAAGACTGTAAAAGAAAATGAAGAGTATGATTACCATGAAAATCAACATAGTGGCTACCATTACATGAAGGGCTGAGGGATGTCATCAGGGAGTGTCATGCTTCCAGGGTGTAGGCAATGTTTTATTTCTTGACCTGGATGGTAATTACTTGGATGTTGACTTTGTGATTATTTAAACTGTAAATATGCTTGATGCAAATAAAAAATTAAGGAGCTAAACCAAAGAATTTGAAATGAACTTAGAGCGTACTGATAATTAATAAGTCCATGGTACTGCTATTGGTGGTTGTTATCATAATGTTGAATTAACTTGAATGATTTAGAATACTCCATCCAGATAGAAAATTTAATTTACAAGAAGCACTTTTTAAGAGACTATCAGAAATGTTTTGCTATCCAGTTTACCAGATCCAACTATTATATAATTTAATATGAGGAAAATTCTACTTTTACTATGTTCAGGAAGATCACTAGTGGATGAGCCACAAAAAATTCCATCTGTGGCATTAACAGCTAACAATATTTACCACTTTTTGAGCACTTGCCATGTGGCAAATATTGGTCAAGTATTACAAATGTGTGATCTCATTTAATCTTGGAAATAACTCATTAGTGTGGGTACCCCATTAGTGTGTCCCCATATTACACATGTCAAGGGCAGAATCTGGTTTTGATCTTAATCTCTCTGATTCCAGAACTCTTGTTCTTAGTCCCTATAATCTTGAGGCTAGGGTTATCTAATACTGTATATATAATGTTACTATTGTTCTAGATTTTCATTTATTCTAACTTGTTATGATTTGGGTATTCAAGTTTTTATCAATTTAGCAACAAACGTCAGCTAAATACCAGGTATTTCTGTGGCCACTATCTACTGGATCTTTTGCTCTGTTTAGCAGCTTGGAACCTGTGCCACAGGAGTTTACTGGCCTTACTTCCTTAAGCCTAATGTATTGCACTATTTCAAGTATTACCAAACTGAATTCTCAACTTTACACATTTTTTGTGTTCTATGCATCACCCAAACTACATACTAATTTGTTTCCTGAGTGGCTGTAGTACATGAAATTACCTCTTGAGCCCTATGAGCAGCTCTTTTAACTGGTGGAGTTGCTAGCTATTCCTTTCAAGAACTAACATTCATCTGGAGGTCATTGTCAGAAGTATTGAGTTTTTCTACAGATACAGAAAATGAAGGGCCTCTTCAGCTAACTTCCTATTATAACCTTAGACCCTTATAGCTCTTCTTCACGTGAGTTTTTAAAATTTTTAAAACAAAATATTTTAATTAGTTCATATTGTTTTTATGTTGCTATACACTGCCATGTACTCTGTGAAATGGTGAGTATGGTCATTTCTATAAAATGTTAGGACATGAAGCTCTTGGTAAAAAAATGTAATCCCTAGTTTTTGCATTCCTTTTCTGGAAAAAAAAAAAAAAAGTCGACCTTGTTACTTTGACTTCTAGTACCTTTTTCAGCTTAACCTTCTGTCAATAGTTTAATGTCTCCCAGTGGATCCAAAGGAAAATGGTAGCCAAATGTCAGGAAGAGAACCTGTACAGGTTTTCTCTACCCTTACATTTCAAACCAAGATTCTATTTTTACCCAATTATTCTCCTATATTTTATTTTTCCAGTATGTTCTCATAAATCTTGTAAAGGAAATTGTATTATCACTGGAAATGGCATATTGTGTCCCGCTTAATTTTATTATTGCTTTACTGTCTGAACACTAGAAGTGTGGGCTTGGGTCCAATAAAAAATCCACTGTTTTCTTTATTCTTAATTGCTGCTACATAGATTGTTATAAAGTTGGTTGCCTGCAATAAGTATCATAGTTATTTCTGATTTCGTTTACCTTCTTTTTCTACCATTTTTTGGGCATGAGCACACAATTAAAATTTTTCCTTCAAAAAATATGATTTGTGATTTCCTCTTTGATCTCTTGTAATTTACAGAGACAAATTAAACTGAAGTCCAAGGATATTATTATTGACTAATGAGATTTGATTTGTGAAGGCATTCTTTATCTGTAAGGACAATTTTCAAAGAGTGGTCTCGGGATTTTAGACACTTGAGGATTTCTGTGGGTGAAAAATTATTTTTACAATAATACTAACTTTATTTATTCTTTCTCTCATGAGTATAAAGTAGGGTTTTCCAAACTATAGGGTGTGTGATGTTACAACAGCCTGAACACAAAAGCCCATATGAGAATTCATCTGTCTTCTATTATGCCAGGCATTAAAGAGACTTGAAAAAATGTGAAACATCTCTTCATTTTTTATTATCTTTCTAATCTAGATTTTTCATTTAAGGAGTATAATATACATTTTCAAAATCCTATTGCTTATGTTAAATAAATGAACTGTTTTTTCACTATTCAGTTTTCATATGGTATTATTGGTACCTACATCCCACATGTACGAAAGGTCTGTAGGTCCTCAGTTATGTTTAAATGTGTAAAAGGATCTTGAGACCAAAAACTTAGTCAATGATTTACCTTATCTTTTTCTCAAATGTTTGAATTTTTTTCTTATATTTGATTTTATCCTATAAAAGGCAAACTGAAAATAATCTATTTTTAGGTTGCTACAGACCTCAGGAAAGATCAGATTACTTGATGTTGGCAGCTGCTTTAACCCATTTCTGAAGTTTGAAGAATTTCTAACTGTTGGCATAGATATTGTACCTGCTGTAGAGGTATGCATAGTTCTATTTTGTTTTGAGACTTGAAGATCTTACGCATATACTTACCAAGAAAAAAGCAATGTCTTTAGTGAAATAGCAAGTATGTTTCCTATGCACAAGTTGATAAATTTTTAGTCAAAAGCAAATTCGTATTCCATAAAAATTTTTGAGCATTTAGTTGACAAATATGGTACTGGTTAAAATAATACTGGCTTTTATTTTGTTTCCTGGTTGTCTATTTTTGTAATCAAGAGACTAATAAATTGCAAAGATTTCCAGGTAGCTATAAGGTTTGGGCTTTTTGTATTTATCCTTTTTTGAAGTGTACTGTGATATGGAGCCATTATGGAATAATGTCCAGAGCAAGGACTTTGGAGACCATCAAAACTTTATTACATCGCAGCTATTTGTACATAGATGAAACTAGTTAAATTGTTTTCTCTACTTTTAAAATAGATTTTTTTTCTTCATGACATAAGTTGTTTGCCATTTTACTTTTGATAAAGCATTACACACCAAAAATTGACAAATTGAATTTAAAAAAAAGTCTTTATTTTTGACAGAGCTAGGGAGGGGCAGAGAGAGACACACAGAATCTGAAATAGGCTCCAAGCTCTGAGCTGTCAACACAGCACCCGACCTGGGGCTCAAACTCAAAGACCATAAGATCATGCCCTGAGCCAAACTCGGAAGCTTAACCAACTGAGCCACCCACGTGCCCCACAAATTGCATTTTTAATGTTTTAAAGAGAGTATGTGTTACAGTGTAAACTGGGTTAGGGATTGGTTTTCAGTCTGCTATATGCCTAGCACCTAGGAATGCCTAGTACATGAAGTACTCATTAAATACTTCTTGAACAAAATAATGGAAACTTATGTTCAACCTGGGGTTCCATCTCTGAGCCTGTTTCCTCATCTGTATGGTGGAGTTAGTGATGGAGCACATTTCATAGCACCATTGTAATATGTACTTGAGAAGAAGTATTTAAAACACCTAGCACAGTGCCTGTTACCTAAGTGAGTGCTAGATGGTTGCCATTATTATTGAAAAGTTCCTGCATGGAGATTCAACTTTCATTTGATTTTTTTCTTGAATTTTTAATGAAGAAATGCTAATAAAACTTACCATTATCTCTACTTCTGAAAGGTGGACAAATGTTTGCTTTATGGTAAAACAGCTGTTCTTAGCTTATCACTGCAGAGAATTCCTGTGCCTTCAGGAGCTATACTGTTAAAATATATTGGGCTTTGTACATGGATTTTCTTCTTTCCTCAAGACACACATTAAAGATGTCCTTTAGGGACCCATTTGCTCTAAACTTTAGGCTTAAATACTAAATTTGTTTATAGATAGGGCTATAAACTTTCAACTGTAAAGTCACTGGGGTAGGCAAAAGAACTAACTATAGAGAAGTTCAGTAGCATCAGGCTTCCACAGGTCCAGAATGCTATAACTAATTTTAAGATGAAGGGCCTTTTACTTCCAGTCAAGATGGAGTAACCTACCTCAAACAACACAAAGTGGACAAAATACACACAATAATTTACAAGTCATTTGATATCAGGTAATAAAGGACAATGATCAGTGAGAGACAAAAATAAATGATTTGAGCCCCACTATTGTACCATCATTTGGCCTTTAGAGTTTCTAGGACATGACCCAGAGAAGGAATCCCAAGCAGGGCCCAAATGTTTCCCTGAGTTGTGGAGACAGAGCTGAGAGTCCTGGGGAGAATAAGGCAGCTAGGGTTCATAGGAAAGAGTACCAATTATATGAGAGCTGCACAGAGGGAAAACTCCAGAGACCTGGAGGGCCAAGAGTCCTCCTTGAGTTCTCAGCTGAGTACTGATCAGTATATGACATGAATGAGAAAACTACAAGAGACGTTAAGTACCACTCGAAAAGGGTAGAGGTTTTAGTGCCTGGCACTCACATAGGGTGGAAATAGTACCTGTTTCCATCAGCCACACTGGAAACCTAAAAAATCACAGTGCATTGGGTAGAGTACAAACAAGAGTCTTGCCTGAGTACCGGGAAATAATTAGCTTTAGACTGAATAATGGTCTAGTCCCACCTAACAAATCATAGAAGACCCCAAAGGATCAAAGTGTTTCCAGGTAATTTAACTGCATCCCAGAACAAAGCTCAAGAATATTTATAGCAGTACAATGCCATCCAGCACCCAGAAAGGTAAAAATCCACCATGTTGGACATCCAATAAAGAAATAGGCAGCCATAGGACCCATGGCAAGGAGATAAATCAACAGAGACCAACCCTGAACTGACAGAGATGTTAAAATTAGGAAACAAGGACATTAAAATAGGCTCAGTATGACTGTATCCTATATGTACAAAAAGTGTAGAGACACAGAACATACTTTAAATACCAAATGTAACTTCTAGAGATAGATACTATCATACTCTGCCCTCTTGATCTCCTCTTGGCTCTGTAGCCTAAGGGATCATGTGTTCCTTGTACCATGGCAATGTAATAGTATAGTCCATATCACCCAGAAAGGAGCTCATACTCCCTGTCTGGCACCTCAGTTTTTGTGACTACTGTCAGAGTAAATCTCTGTATCACCTGGCTCTGGTGGCCAGTGAAACTTAACACTCATGGGTCCCACAGAACTGTTATCAATGAGGAAAGTTCCTAAACAGCTGTCACCCCTAGGGTACAGCAAGAGGCATCAGACCCAGGAGCGCAGTCTTACTGTGAAGGAAGATTATTAGCTAATCACCACGACTGCAGCCTGAGTGGCAGACTTCTAATTAAACACAAGATGGGGCTGACTATAATCCTTTCCAGAGATTTCTGAGGGTGGGCACTGTCTTTGAGCTCAGTCTCTGCTGTGCTAAGTGCCATGGTCTCCTGGAGGGGAGCTATACACACATCTATTGTGCCAGTTTTTGCAGCTGCCTCCTGGGGAACACCCCTTGATCACCTGGCTCTGGGATGGGGGTAGAGGACTTGCATTCTTGGGTCCCATGAGACCCTGGCAGTTGGAGAGATTGTTCTTGGCAGGTTAGCAGGCTCCCACCCCGAGAGCACTGCACAGACAGCAGACTGAAGCACATTCCCCAATATTTCTGTGAAGGAGACCTCTTTGCTTCTTCTGGGGCTTTAGCCTGGAGACCTGTTTCAGGTTTGGCACACATTTAATGTCAAACAGACCTGCTCTCAAGAAACATAGGCTGAGGATGCCATCTTGTATTCCCCCTCTGCCTTGCTCCACCTCACTACTGTCACCCAGAAAAGACCTTACACACTCATCTGGAGCCCTGATCTCTTTGCCACCCAGGGGATGCCTCCAGATTGCCTGGTTCTCAAGGCCAGAGGGGGCTTACATTTGTGGTCCCACAGGACTGTATATATTTGCATATTTTTAAAACCTGATGCCTGAAGGTCTGGCTTCTAGTCAGCCTGAATCTAGGTGCTGAGATCATCCCCCACCAAGACACTGACAGGTCTTAACACATCCTCAACTACTGGGAGCTGTTAAAAATGTAATAGGCTGCTTGGACAAGCATAAAGGTTTGAAAGACAACCAAGATCTGAGGCAGGGTTGAATAACAAGTTTCATCTCCTAACAAGACCACCCCTTCAAGACTGGCTTCAAGAGGCTATCGTGTCATCTGCTATATAGAAACCAACAGAGTCAAGTAAAATGAAGAAAGAGAGGAATACATTCCAAATGGAAAAAAACAAGTTACAAGTACAGGAGGAAAAAATTAATGAAATGGAGAGAAGTAATTTGGATTCATTGTCAGGTAAAGTAATGGTCATGAAGATGCTCACCAAACTGGGGAGAAGAATGAATTAACACAGTGAGAATTTCAACAAAGAGACGGAAAATATTAGAAGGTACCAAGTAGAAGTCACAGAGCTTTAGAATATACATACTGAATTAAAAAATACACCAGAGGCATTCACCATGAGACTAGAAGTAGCAGAAGCATCAATCAACTTGAAGACAAGGCAGTGGAACTCACACATTCAGAGCAGCATAAAGAAAAAGAATGAAAAAAGGAGATAATATTAAAAGCAACAAGAGAAAAACAACTTACTACATACAAATGAACTCCCTTAAGTCAAGTCTATAAGCAGATTTTCCAGCAGGAACTTTGCAGGCCAGATGGGTGTAGCATTTTATATTCATGGGACTGAAAGAAAAAATATTGCCACCCAAGGACTTTACCTGGCAAAGTTACCATTCAGAAGTGGAGAAACTATTACAACACTGATGAAAAAAATTGGAGACGACACATACGTTGGGAGAGCAGATATTGTTTAAACATCTCTACTACCAAGAGCAATCTACACATTTAATGTAATCCCTGTCAAAATACCAACAGCATTTTTTCATGGAACTAGAACACAGACCCCTAAAATTGTACAGAACCACAAAAGACCTGAATAGCTAAAGCAGTCTTGAAATATAAAAATAAAACTGGAAGTATCACAATTCCAGCTTCAGGTTATAGTTGAAAGCTGTAGTAATCCAAACAGTGATGTACTGGCATATAAACATAGACACTCAGATCAACAGAATACAATAGAAAAACTAGAAATAAACCCACAATTATGTCAATTATTCTTTGACAAAGAAGGAATGAATATCCAATGGGAAAAAAAGTTTCTTCAAATAACATTTGGAAAATTGGAAAATTACATGCAAAAGAATAAAACTAGACAACTTTCTCATTATACACAAAAATAAACTCGAAATGGATTAAAAACCAAAATGTGATACCTGAAACCATAATTAAGTCCTAGAAAAGACTATAAGTAGTAATTTCTCTTATGACATCAGCCATAATAACATTTTTCTAGATTGGTCTCCTAAGGCAAGAGAAACAAAAGCAAAGGTAAACCATTAGGACTATATCAAAATATAAAGCTTCTGCACAGTGAAGGAAACAATCAACAAAACTAAAAGACAACCTACTGAATGGGAGAAGATATTTTGCAACAGACAAATTCCATTAATGGTTAGTACTCAAAATATAA